CTTGTTTCATTTAAAGTAATTTGTAATGTAGCTTTATCAGATACACGTTGATTAACTTCAGTAATTGTTGTATCATATTGATGTTGTAATGCATTTTTCTCGGCTCTTCAATATTTAAAAAAGAAAAAAGTATTCTTATAAAAACATATTTCTTATTTTCTTACTGTAATGTATTGATAGCAGTACTCAATTGTTTATCTTGATCAGTATATTCACGTACTTTTTCAAGATATGTATCGAGTTCTTTTTGTAATGTTTGAATTACACTTACATTAGATTCTCTTGCCATATTAACAGCCGCTATAAGATAAATGAAAAAACATACTATGTACATGTATATTTGTTTGTTTCTTTTTTTTTGTACCTTGAATTTCATTTTTAATTGAAGTTGGTAAAATTTTTAATCGATGACGAAGTCGACTTGATTCAATCGATTCTGTTTCATAATCGACATATAATTTTAAAATTTCTTTTTCCTAAAAACAAAACAAAAGATAAATTTTTAATTTCAAATAATTAAAAAAAGATTGTTCAATATACCAATGCCATAAGTGTATCAGCAACATAATCGATATTATTTAAATCAGCTTCAGTAAATGTATTTATTTGAAATGATTCACCTTTAGTTTATTTTTTTTTTAATACAAAATAAAAATATTGAAAAATATATGAAATATTTATTAGATTTACCGAGTTGTTTTAAATGATGAACAGCATTTTTAATAGAAGTACTTATTTCTGAACTATCAGTACGAACCATTTTTTTGTTTCTGTCAAAATTAATCAATTTGATGTATGTATTCAAAAAAAACAGTAATGTTCTATGATCAATATTTTGCCATTTATATGTTGAACTCAGAGAGACACATTAGTTACTTGGCAAATCATTGTTTGTAAGGACATCTTTTTTACTGATCGATTGGCATTGCGCTAGAAGTAAGTCGCTAACTGTAGTAAAATAAGTTTGCTGAAGGATCTAAATTGTAAACATAAATGAATCCCAATGTACTAAGAAGCAAACTTCCTTTGAAAGCGTAATCATCCAAATCATTAATGCGGTGCGAAGCATTTTATAGAACTGCGTCGTGAGTTTTCTTTATATATTTCTTCAATTTTCGTTACGATGTTCCGGTCGCATATAAATACCGTCCAAAAAAGACAAATTTTTCAGGATTTTAAGTTTTTTCAAGCTTTGAGATAATTAAAACAAAAAAAGTTAGGTGCTACTCTCTTTGCTCAAATATGAAACAGCTGTAAGTACAGCTGATGATAGATAATGAATCATATCAATGATTAAACGATCAATCGACAATGTTTTTTTTTAGAAACATGTTGGCAGGTTTTCATAGAGATCTTACAGTGATGAAATCTATAATGGCTATGTTTCAGTTTGTGTCAGATTTTGATCAGCTGATTGATGAAAATTCAAATTTTTCGAGATACGACGATTGACAGAAATCCCTGCTTTCGATAAACAGAAACAACTTCAAGAGAAACACTATTCGAGTTTGAGTCTCTAATCAACTTTTCGTTTGTTTCGAAAATTTGATTATTTGACATAGTTGATATTCGTGTTGCGCACCTTATCTCATACTCTCGACTTTGTCGAGATGCCATCTAGTTTTCTTCCTAGATGTACACATCAAAAATTATCATTTTGTGAGTCGATGATGTCTAGAACTAAAAATCTGAAAATAGTCGTTGAAACGTAAGATCCAAGTACCGAGATCGAACCGATAATATCTTTTGAGTTCACCTCCGTAGCACCTTCGGCTTTCTCATATGTCAAACAGCTGTAGTTACAGCTGATTGTAGATAATGAATCATATAGATAATAATTAAACAATCAATCGAAATCGTCCTTCAGAAAAGTGTTCATAAGCTTTTATGAGTTCTCGTGGCAATAAATTTCATTATGGTACTTTTTGAAATGTCTCACGACTTATATCAGCTGACTCGTGAAGAAAGTAATTTTTCGAATTCGAATGATGCAAAGAAATATCTATGTTCCGTAGTCTGTACACAATTCAACTGGAAAATGATGATTGCTATTAACTCAACAATCTCGAATATCACTGGTATGATGATTCCTTAGTCAAAAGAGGATGACTCTTCAACTTCGAATATTTTATTTCCTAAATTAAATAAAATTTTCACTAATTAATTTCAACCTATAAATTGGAGATCTCATATAACTTATTAAAATAAGAATTAAGGAAATTCTTTATGCATTCATATATACGAGGTTGTTCTTATAGAGATAAAAAAGAATCAATATTTCAATTATTTTTAAAAAACATTTTTGATCATTTTGGAAAATGAAATCGAATTATGCGTAAAACACAGGTATTATACAATAGAAAGAGGTCGAAAATGTGTTCACATTAAGAGAACCAATACTATATTGTTCTCGTCAATTAATAACCATTAAATCTTCACATGTCCAAAAGTCATTTATCGAATGAAAGAATGATCCATTGATAACAACATTGACTTGAAGAAGCAAGTCCGTATCTATAAAAAGAAAACACTTTTTCTCAATTATATCTTGTTGTAATTGAGAAATATTAATTTGATCTATTGATTGTTTGCTTTTTATTCTTTAGATGGAATTATACAAACGAATGAACTGATTAAATTCTAACTTTTGTAAATAATCAGTATGAAGATTTTGAATTTTATCAAGTTGCGCAAGAGGATCTTGATAAAGGAAGAGAGAAAAAGAAATTTTGTTGAAAATACTGAAATAATTAAGACAAAAATGCTACTCTAATTATCGCTTATTTATATTGGATTTACTCAAGCTGTTGCGCATCATTTTCAGGTATAATATGCACAGAATTGTGTGAGAATGTTATCAACATTAGTTTTAATTGATTCAAGTTCATATACACGTCCAGATATACCAGAAGGATAATCATTATTAAGAGAAATTATTCCATTGAATATTCATGGTCACCACCATCAAGTGATGATAGTACAACATCAACAATTTATTAATATGAATTGAAGATTCTTATTTAAAATAAATATGTTCTAAAAACTCTGAATATCAGTCCTTAAAATTAGAATAACCAGTAAGAAAAAAGTAAAATAATGAATAACAGTAATCTTTGTTTCTTTTGAACTATCATCTATACCTGATAAATCATTACAAATAGTAATTATAAATTATTATTATTGTCAATCAAGTGATATTTCATTTTATATTATCGAATGTTGTGATGTTCTCAAATGTAAACGGAATCTAGTAAAAAAAAAATAAAAGGTCTATGAAATCAATATAATTGTATTAACTTACAATTCAATTTTATTGTTTTCTTGTTAGTGCATTAAAAATATCAAAGATAGTTGGAGGAGATTTTCTTTTGCGTTAAAAATTTTAACAAATAGAAAACTTATTTTATTTAGTTCATTTTAACAAAAATAAGTAATGCTGAAATCGAGAAAGTTAAAGAACCACTCAATAACTACAGTATCATAACAAGATAAAACTGATGTTATAATAGTTTATGGATTTGAAGTATGAGATTCCGAACAATATTCATGAAATGAATTAGAAAAGAATTGATGCATCAAAACAAATATATGTACGAAAATATTTTACAATAAATCTTGTGTAGTAATTAATTGATGTAGAGTTTTCATCAAAAACTCAACCATATTCATTTCTTTTAAAGAATGATATATTCTAAATTATACTGTGAAAAAAACAACAAGTTGGATTTTTTCAAAAATGAGAAAATCTTGATAATTCATTACAAACATGTACATGTCTTGTAACGCGGTTTAACATCAGATATACAATATCTAGATTGATTTTTACAAATTAAACTAAGTCTTTGGGTAGAACGTGTTCACACAATTGTTGATCTTGAGAGTGTGGGTGTGAGTGTGACTTATAAGATACCAAAAATGATGTTATTTACATCGTTTTAATGAAACTTTTTCCTGAGAAAAAACGATGTCGTGAAATGAAACGAAAAGCCATTTGTGATGATAAACCATACGTATTCTTTAATCTTTTTTGAAATTCATTGGTGAAAATCGGGCTGTTAACTCATGAAAATAACATGATAAGACGGATGAAAAAGAAAGATCTCGAATTCATTTTCTTTGATATCACTACCTACTCAAATGGATAGTATATTAATATCTAATAGATTTAGAAAAAGCATGGCACGACATATTTTCTATCCTTGCAACTTCCGTTTTTTTTCAAGAGTTATATGTGTAAGAACTAAAATTTGTAAACAGGATTCAAATTTATCGTTTTTATAGTTAATTTGCGTATGTGGGTGTTGACCTTGTCTTCATTCACACCCACACATCCACACTCAACACCCCACACCTACCCCACAGCCACTCACACCGACACCCACCCACACCCACACCCTCACTGGATACCGGCATCAATTCAATTACTAACTGATTTAACTAGAATGAAACTTGAGATAACACTTTACCAACTACATTTAAGCAACAAATTTTAGAGAGCACTCAGATAGCATTTAGGACTCCTATAGACCAAATCTTTTTATTTCTCTCTGATAAGCTTTATGCAACCAATTCATCACTAGAGAGAATATTGCAAGAAAGAATTTCACCTGCATTAGTACAGTCAAAGGAAAAACTTTCAAATAGGTGAAATGTCAAGAATGTAATGTATCTAATCACTAAATTTAAATGAACTTTTCAGTGAGTATGAAGCTTCATTGATGGTGGATATAGATTATTATGATGAGTGCATGCAAAAGCACTCATGCACCGCTTAGACTCACAGCCACATCCTATGAATATTCTAATAGTATGAAAATCGAATATTTTTTTATCATCAATAACTAATAATTAATATATTTTTTTTTGAATGAAATAAATGAATTAAAGTATTTAGAAGAAGTATAAATCTGTTCAAACTAATATCATAAAAGAAAGATTAGAAATTAAATTTTCGAAAGAGTCTATCATTCGAATCAATGTTCTCATGACTTCTCGTTTGTTTATTTCGGAGTAATATTTTGTAATTTGAAAACCCATGCCCAATCACTTGCAAGTGAATATATTTTAATATTTGATAGTTCAATGATGATACCACCACTTGCACCAGCTAAACGCCAACTCAATGAACCAACATCTGAGCCAAGGAGTGTTATACTTGTACTTGACGAACTAATTGGTGCACCTAATACAAGTTCAGTTGTATTTTTCTGCCAATCTAGAAGACATGCATAAACAAATTGCTCATCTTTGGACGATGTATACCTACGAATGAAAACGAAAAACTGAAATCTTCTATTTCTCTTTTACGAATTTGTCTACCAAACATTTTTGTTAATTGTATCATTTTGATATTTCCATGGAACGCTATTGTAGATAGCTTCACCGTTAACTTTCAACCATGAACCCATTTGTCGAAGACGTTCTTCATAAATGGGTGGAATTTTTCCATATGATGTTGGACCAACGTTAATTAATACGTTACCTCCGGTACTGTACACAATAAAAGAAAATTAAATATTGAAAAAAAAGTCCCAGGCATCCAAAAATATAACAACCTGACAGTGGTTATAATTTAATAAAGGATTTCTTGAATAGTGAGGTAGTCATTAACACCGGATGTACGAATGTAACCCCATGAATGTTTATCGATCTATTAAACAAAATTAGATTAGACTTAAATTACCATCGAAATTTATATCTCATACAGTAAAACAATTTTCCCATTTATGCGTAATAAGATGTCCTGGATTGAAACGATCCGAGCATGTATAAAAACCGCCATGATGGCATGGAATACCAGCACCCCATCGATCATTGACAACCTTCAGTAGAAAATATACTTCATTGTTTTCTAATTATTAATCTATGTAAAATGAAAAAAGATACACACAACTGTATCTTTTACGGGACTTTCATTGTATAGCCATGCAAGAAATCCAGTGGAATTCCAGTAAGTATCTGGTGCCTCTGAAAAAAGAACTTGAACATATTGAAGAGATATCAAACGTTGTTTAAATTTTCAAACCCCAATCACCATCTGACCATATAACTGAAGGCTTATAGTTTTCAACGATTTCTTTCAATTCAGGTAACGTTTTCATCTATAAATTGAATTATTCTCAATCTTAAGAGAGGTTCATTAAACCGCCATATATAATAGTAAAGATCGACCACAGAAAAATTTTAGTTTTTGAAATGAGTTACTAGTTTGAAAGAGCATAAAAAGTTTATTATCGTACAAAGGATATTCTTGTGCTGGAAATCTACTAACCATCAGACGAAAAAAATCATTAAAACACATCTCAAGAAAATTCTCCTTCAGATGTCCTGGTGTAACTAATAGTTTTTCTTGGATGCTTAGATACAATTTTCGAGCGCTCTGATAATACTATCAAAACAAAAGGAGTCTTAGTCTGATCAATCTGCAGAATGACAGATGAAAATAGTTGGTCATCTTCAAAATCCAGGTATAATGTGCTTATAATAACTATTGTTTAATGAGAGTTTATCATGACAACATTCAGTGAAAAATATTTCTATCAAAATCATGATTATTTTTTATTAACAATAGATAAATCTCAGTTTTTCTCTCAATCATCCACTTTTAGCATCATAATCGGATTGAAATCTGATCAATCGATTTTCCTTAACTTTTTATTTTATAGATCGATTGTAGTCGAAGATTGATTTTGATCTTTCTAACCGATTGAAATCTCAATTATCCATAGTTTGATGCATAGATTTGAATTTGGCTATTAAATCATCTAAGCAATTACATTTGATTGGATTTATAAAATTAATTTTGACTTTTTTGACTAATTAAAAGTCAATCGATTATTAATGATTATCTCGATTGTGCTCCAATTTTGATAAATGAGAGACTATCGACAACATGGTTCACGTTTTATCAATTTTTGAAATTTATAATGAAATAAAACTGATTTTTTTTCGTACGTAGAAGATTAACATCAGATAAATACAATATGTGAGGATGTATAGTATAAAAGTGCTTTATACACACGGAAGTCCATTTTGGAAAAAAATGAAAATATCGATAGAATTAATACAAATTGATTCAAATTATAAATAGTAAAGCCTACACGGTACATTTGAGAACAGAATTATTTATAGGAAGGTCTATGCTTATAAAATATTTTTATGTTAAACAAAACTTAAATAATGAAATGGCTTAATCTTGCCTCCCACCGAGGATCCGTTAAAAAAGAGGATTTTGAATAAAAAAGAGGAAAAGTAGGAGACTTTTTTCAACCTTTAACATCATGAAAAAACACTGAAAGTGAAGCGAAAACTCCAACATCGCGAAACTGATCTTACATTAATCTGTTTGGTAGTCGTTTAAATATAACGAATGTAATATTAGTTTATGGAAACATGTCAGACTCTTTTCTATTCGAACAGAAAATGATAGAAAGCTAATTCTGTTTTCTTGATAGAGCTTAGTTTCTACTGTGAAAGCATGCTTCACAGACTTCTATTCATATAGTAGCAGTAAAATTTATTCAGCTTTTATAGATCTCCTTAAAAGTAAGATGTAAACATTTTTAGCAGTAACCACAATTTATATGTAAAACTAAGACATGTACCTGTGAGCTAAAATGGTCTCTACACCGTGTGACTATTCACAGATCAGCTAGGAAAAAATTTCTGTTTAAGCAAATCTTTTTCTATCGAGATTCACTTACTTAAAATTATGTCGACATAAATTGCGAAACTTCCTGTAACAGTGTGTTTTATAATTTCGGACATTTAATAATTAACTTAGAACAAAGAGTTTTGTAAGGTTTTCCTATATATTCTTGTGGCTCGTGAAAAGCTTGATCTGTCGCAATCAATCATCCTTTAATTGCCTCTGAAAATGAATATATATAAAGTAAGAAGAGTTTCAAAACTGTGAAAATTAGTTTTTTTCTGCTAACAGTATATGATAACAATCAAATCTTTCAATGGCTTGCATGTGTGACAATAGCTTATATCATTTTGTATAGAACGTGTTAAAAAGGAGTCCAAAATGTTGCATATAAGACAAGATAATAAACTTCTTTTCTAAGACAGTTCAGCTTAGTGAGTTTCATGATTTCTAAACATGCTTAATCGAAAAACATCACGAGAAAAATTAAGATTTAATGTTAGAATATCGAGAAAAGTGCATATCCTCAATGTGTATAATTGAAAGGCAAGAAAAGATTTAAATTGTTTAATCGGTAATACGAGACTAAAATAGATTAAGAGGTAATATAAAATATGAACGCATTATCGGCACGTAAAAGAACGAAAAAAAACTGACTTTAATCGATTTTTTTCGAATGAAAAAGGTCTACATCTAGCTGAAGTTATTCTCTATTACGATCAAGTTTCTTAATCAATTACAATTCTTTTAATCCATAGCATTTCATTATATTCAAAATTCTATAACCTAATTATTCTGTACTAAAATCCAAATTCTATTATATTGCAGTCAAAATTAACAATAAATATGAATCGATTACTAGGCCTTCTATTCGATTAATATAGATGGATAATTTTGATAATAATCTATTTTAATTTGAATTTCGATGCACAATCATCGGTTTATTTATTTTGTTCAGGTGCAGAAGATTTCGAAATTTTAATCAATGTTCAGCGCTAAAAGTTTTTGGTGGTTGATTATATTTATGCAAGGTAGCAATACCATCACTAATCCATCCCCTTCTAACAATTTAAAATTAATTAAACAACTGAAATATCGAATCATGTACTAAGTTGGCATCACTTTTTTAGCAAAAAAGCAGATATTATCTTTATAAATATCGATTATCCCATTTTTCAAATCAAATTTGAACTATCAAGATGTAAGCTTATATTTAGTGTAAATTACATTGTGGTGCTCTTCAATTTCGAAAACAGAAGAGAATAAATAGATTGCGTCTGATTAAAAAATATATATATATGAAAAATTTTACGAAAATATTCCTGTTCGTTGAAAATTTATCGTACAGATAAATCACTTTTTCTAAGTCTGGCAAATTCATAAGAAAATTATCATCAGTGAATATCATAAGTCAGATACTCAAACATGTACATGAACTTCGGTACAAAATTAATCTGTATGAGTTTGGTACTGATGCAAAGAGCTGTACTCATTCAGCATTATAATAATCAGATGCTTGATAATGAACTATGTATTGTTAATGTGAAACCAAAGGGGTAATTTATATCAATACTTATGAATAAAAATCAAATGATGATGTAATAGCGTCCCAAACACATACTAATTGGAGAACACTTCCACGAATTCATTGAAGAATACGTTACAATCGGAGTATTGCCATTAGAATTCTAGATACTTTGAGTTTTCTATAGAAAACAAGCTAAGCATATTCATTTGTATTTTAAATTACTATTTCTTAAAGTATGAATATTAAAATCTAAAGTTCAATAGGTATTTCTGACTCATAACTTAGAAACATTATGCTATACGAAATCATAACCAAGTATTTGTGCATTTTTCTAACATTATCAGTAGGACAATAGTGAAGTGATAAAGCTTTGATCGTGTTTGAAATGGTATCTTAGAACTTCTATCAAATACCTTAGTCTTTTTCAAAAATATTCAATCGTTGAATAAAAAATCTATACATCCAGTTTTATGAATATACCAAAATGATCTATTTTGATTAATATTGTCGTAGGCTTTTCAGAAAATTACTGGTACTTTATAAACGATATTTTTTTTACTGAAAGATGCGTCTTTTGACGCTCTACAAAAACTATATAAAATTAATCTTAAACTCCTAAAAATTAATTCATGACAAAAAAAAACCAAATATACAAAAATAGATTAAAGAATGGTTTATTTCATCTATTACAAATCGACTTTTTTTTAATATACAAGCTACATAATAAAATATATGAAATATAGAGTTTCGTAGGGTAGCTTTGACTCTATCGATTGATTAAATTTCACAATGAGTTTGGTGAAATTTTTATGAAAAAAAATTCATAAAGAAAAACCAAAGTTTTTGACAAAATAGTATCATGGATAAAAACTACTTAGTGAGTAAACTATGAGGTAAAATTCTCCAAAAGTTGTCAAATTTTGGATTTCGGTATAACTTTTTATGCTCTTTCAAACTAGCAACTCATTTCAAAAAAAAATTTTTCGAAAAATTCCTAGAGTGGTGATCTATTGAACGCTCTCATAAGCATCTTGCAAATATTTAACATACGTTTGGAAAGAATTGCGTTTGAAAATTATTATTTTTATCTGCCAAATACAATGGATGAAACCATTCAAACATTGAATGATAAAGACCAAAAACAATATCAGTTCTATTTCGAATAGCACTTGCTAGATCACCTAAACATAAGATACAAAAGTACAAAATGGTCAATAAAGATTTCATTGATAATCTACCAAGTAAATCACGTTTTGAACCAACATCCATAGCATTCCAATTGAATGAATACTTGGATGGCCACATTGTAAAACCTTCATGATGCTGTGAAGAACAAAAAGAAGGGCAATTGTAATAATTCTGTGCATCTTCTATGTTAACTATAAGTGAACCTTGCTATCGAAAACGATATATCTAAATGAAATGAAAAGAGATTAAAAAAAACAGTATCAGAAAGCAATGATATGAACGTACTTTGCACCGGCTGCAGCAAAAATATCGGCCCATTCATTGGGATCTGGAAGAAAACTGTTGTTCAATACAAAATAAGAGAAGAATGATGTTTATTTACCGTAAAGTTCCGCATGAAATTGTTCCGCAAAATCTGCATAAGTCCAGTCGGATGGATAATTATTATTCATAAAAGCAACAATGCTGGGATTTGGGTTGTCTCCTTTCCATAGCCACCACATCCTATATAGATAAGGATAAAAAAAGAGCTGGTATTCTATTCTGAAAATATAGGAGCATTTCAATATTCGTTGATTTTTAAAGAGGACACATGTGAAAACATACCATTCAGATCCAATTGATGGGACACTATATACACCCCAATTAATGAAGATACCTATTTTGCCCTCATCATACCATGCAGGTAATGGACGTGAATCTAATGATTTCCAGTCTGGTGTATATTGTTGCTCACTCAATGGTATAAGAAAACTGCAGACAATAATTGTAAATACTGCTGTTGAAGAAGATTGCATGGTTCTTATTTATAAGAAAAAATGTCGTATGCGAGGCTATATTATCTACAAAAACGAATATACAAAAGGTACGACTCTGATATAGACAAAGTAAATTGACGATAAGATAATAGTCATTCAGATAATAGTGTTGGACAGAAGATTCTAAATATTTCTAAATTAAGAACTTCTTCTGAAGTCTTCTTTTCAAAAGTAAAATATCATTTTAACTCTATTCTTTTTATAGATTATATAATCGATTGGATTTCTAAATGAAATTGCAGCAAATCTCTTTTGTCATTAAAACGGAGATGTGGGTGTGGATACAGGTATGAGGACTTCTTCTGATTTGCGGTCATAAGTCAAATAAAATTGTTAAATCTTATTGAAACTTTAAAATTCAGTCAACGTTAAAGTTAAGAAATTAAACTATTTCTTTTTCCAAAACTACAAGAACTTAATTAACTTAATTTGCGAATGTTAACTGATAAATGCTCATATTTAACAATTTTCACTTTCAAGTTCGAATCGCATAAGGTATAAGAAGATATAGAGTTCGCTGATATTTTCTATGTAATTTCTATGTTTTAGTTTAGGAAGTTGTGAAGTCCGCTTGAAAATCTAGCATAAATCTAACTGAATGTAATAAAGGTTTAGCAGTGCCATGTGTAGTCTGTTTGAAGCTAAATGAATGCGGTTTGAAAGTGTCATTTCTCATTTTGGAAGATTAGTATAAGAACATGGCAGCATAACAAAATTAGTTTCGTATTTCAAGGAATTTGATTCAGAAAGCTTTATGAGTGTTGCTGCTTCACCAAAAATATTTGAAAATTAGAGGGTGTGAGTGTAGATGTGGGTGTACTTTTGGATCAAACAAAATCCACAACCGTACCCACACTCAGATTCTTGTACCCGGAACCGGAACCGTTAGAACGGAAAGTTTTATCAGCAGTCAGTATCATATATGTGTTTGTTATTCTTCCATGGTTTCTGAGGAAAAAAATTCTTATCTATTCATTACATAGGATCCTACTTGTAATGCAAAACACAAAACGAACAACTTCAATTGTACTTATACTTATAGTAGGAGTGAGTATCTACTTATTATTATCATAATTTTTTTAAAATTTGATGTGCTGATACCATCAGTATGTGACACCTCATCACGTACAATTTCGCATTCTGACGAAAAACAATACCTAGATGCAGTAATAGTAGTGATTAAGAAATCAAAAAAAAATTGCAGAAGATAAGATTGAATTTTGTAATGATCATCGTAAAAAGACAGAAAACGATGATCTCAATTATGTTTTAGAACACTTTTATACAAAAGCAAGCATGGGATTTTAAAATGATACAAAAAGGTTTTGTACTGAACTTCATGGACTAACAATAGTTAAAAAGAGTATTTTTTATTTGTTAATCTTTCAAATATCGAGGCTACAAAATTGTTAATTTTGAAGAGCTAAAATAGTGGTATTTTTCGAAACAAATCATTTAGTCAATAAAGTTTTTTTCTGAATTTCTGTGCTATTAATTGGTGAAAAGGTGTACTACACAGTAAGTTAGATAACTTTTTAGATGCTTTACAATAACTTGGTCAATTACACACACCCAGTCACATAATTGGCCTTGGAGATCGAATAAGACAACTGTAAGCTAATCAAGCAAATAGTTATATATGTATAATAGATGTTAGCTCATGAGGAGTTGGAATAGCATTTATTATGAATTAAATGTGTTCAGAAGTTATAAAATGACTGAAAGCAAAGTAAATGCTTATTCAAGACAATGTAGCAAAAAATGCTTTCCTTTCACATTAACTTTTATTCATTCACTCCTCCTGTTTTTCTTTACGCAAATAAGATGAGATAGATGTTAATTTTGTGCACTCAATAGTGTGCTCAAAGAAATAACGCTTCATATGTTATTCCATCTTCTTACTTCACGACGCGCTCAGTGGGCCAATTAATAGACTTTGGATGAAGAGGTGGGCACTCGGTGGGTCAAACCACATAATTGTCGTACCAAGCAGCGAGTACTCTATTTATGAAGATATTTATCAGTGGCTTCTCTAGAACCGCTGGTGGAGGGCGAGGGAAAGAAGTCATGGGATATAATTATTTCAAAAAGTGCTTTCTCTTTTTTCGCACCTACAATTTCAAGAAATTGCGTTTTGTAAATAAAAAACATGAATCATTTCGAAAACACAAACATCGAAATTTCTTAAAAAATGAATAGTAGTTTCTTGATGTTCAACACTATATAAGTGATTTCGGTTCCAATTTTTAGGAGCCGAAATTGGAACCTTTTTTTCTAGTTTTACTAACAGGAACAGGAACCAGAACAACGGTTCCGGTTTCGGATAATTTTTGGAACCGCTGGGCTATACCACGGACACACTCCCACCACGCCCCAAGCATACCCTAGAATCTAACTATCCACTATGGACTCTCTTGTAATTTCTTCACAAGACTAAAACTTGTTGTTTGGGCCACATGAGTCATCCATAACAAGTAAAGAAAATTTTATTTACGCATATACTTTCGTCTCCTTTTTTTCGCGAAGGCTATTATATTTACAGACTGTTCTTGCGGAGCTGCTTTCATTTGTGCAGAAAATAAAACGAAAAGCAAACGAAGAATCATGTACCTTGTTCTTCATCGGTGGTTGATTTTTTCCTACCTGCTAAAAAAAAGAACGGAATTAATACTCACACGAAGTAATGCTGAATCAATACATGTTGGTTACTATGCTGCAGCATTCTCGATGTTTTTACATAAAGTTTTGAGACACTATTGTATAGTAGTCCATACGTGGCAAGCAATCACGCACCAACAAACTGAGACACAAGTATGACTAGTAATCAGTCAGAAAACTACACATAACACAGAAAACATAAAATACATGTAATACTTACATAGCGGCTGTGGGTGTGAGTGTGGGTGTGGATGTTCAAGTGGTTGGGTGTTGATCTCTTCTTAATTCATATCCACGCCCACACTCACACCCCACCCACCCACACCCACACACCCCACCCCACCCCACCCCACCCCACCCCACCCCATCCACCTTCACACCACCCACACCTACACCCCAACCCTCGTCGACAACACAAGATGATATCAATCAATTGAGTTTGGTCTGCAGAGAATGCGATTTATCTCGTTACGCACAATTATATTCATACAATTAATGTATTGTCGTAAAACCACTTTTTAAAGTTTTCTAAATTTGTCAATAAGTCATTTTCATCTTCTCCAGTGATAAAACTAAACACAAGATTTATCCAAAATCCGTCCGATGTTCTCAAATCAACGATATTCCCAGTAGTTTTATAACAAATATATCCATCGACACCCTTTAGATTGTCACACAGCGCAGCAGGTATTCTGATTATTGTGCCCAATTTCGACGGGATTCGCAATGTACCCACCAATAACTTGGGTCGAATAGGTTGCTGTATGTGTATGGCTTGACCCAGTAACATATTCACGTGTTGTTCGTAGAGATCAATATCAAAGGCTCTACTCCAATTTTCATGTATTCTACAACCTCCAACACGACTTGCTACTTCACAAAATACAATTTCTTGATTGTTGCTATAAAAGAGTTCCATATGAAAAGCCGAACATAGTTTGTATTGTGAATAGAGTTGTAATTCTTTGACAACTTTTTCAGTAATTAAACACAATGGTTGCAATAATACATGATTGTCTGGAATAATGTAAGAGCAATCTAATTTATCGTAGGATATTTCAGCACACGGTATTACATATTTCGACGGCCATATTGCAATAATATCGCCATTTTGAATCAATCCATCAATGTGGAAAAAATCACCTTCGATATACTCTTCGATTTCCCAATCAATACTATCGAAATCGTGTTTCATTAGCCATTCAAGAATTTCATTGTACGATTTGATAATGGTTACATTCCTTGAACCAGACATTAACGTTGGTTTTATAACTACAGGATAGGTATGATTCGTTTTTGTCAGATAATCGTCGATATCTTCACGACTTCGAATTAATGTAAATTTTGGAACGCGTATTTTCGATGTTTCTAATATACTTTTCATTAAAGCTTTATCACGAAAACACAGAGCGCTTTGCCATGTTTGGCCGTCAATTCCATATTTTTCTCGCAATTCGGCAGCTAATAATAAATCAGTTTCTCGCGGAGCAATGATTCTTGTATATTGATTTGTTTCACATAATTCATAGAGCGTTTCTTTAATCGTTTCTGCATAATTATCAATAAACATGACTTCATTGAATATGGATTCTAAATATGCTTTTTGTGTGCTGGTTAATACATTCGGAAAAACTCCATGCATTACTTCTGTGGTTGCAACTGTGCTCATAAAAAATGGATATTCATCGTATATTATTAAAATCATCGAGTAAATTGTAGTATAACTACTTATAGAAGACAATCGAATGCACTGAATGATCTACAAAGAAT